GGAAGCCAACCAAGGGTTTTGCTTGAGAAGTTCAGCCAAACCTCTGAAAACAATTACTCCAAGAAGTCCTCTGACCCATTTTGTTATTTCTCTCAACACAAAAACTAAAAGTTCATAGTACCTACCAATTGTAATTTTCTTTAACTTCTTTCAGATACATACATACACACACACTTGAAGGAATAAGCAAACATATTTTTCAGAGAGACTTAGCTCCCTCAAGAGACCACATTATTCTCCTTTCTCATGACATAGACATTTCCTGCAAGGAACAAAGAAACTCTAGTGTCTTTTAAGAACAATAGTCCCAGGCTCTTAAAAGGATCTTACATAGTTATGTTGGGAAATCCCAGACCTACACAGGGAATATTCCCAAGAGTTTTCATAATAGCAGCCCTAACTGCTCTCCAGACAGCATAACTTAGCTCCCTATTCCTTCCATTTTTGGCCACATCTATCCTGCGGCAATAGCATCCAGCTATGGGACCAGAACATGCTGAGGACAGTTTGAGATTCTTTCTTTGCCTTCTTTATGCCCCATTCTGCCAATAAATAAATACCTTTTCTTTATTAAATATCAAAGTGCCCTATTTAACTGAGGAGATAAAAGATACACTGTTCTTCCCTGTTTTAGTTGCTCCAGCCAAGTTAGAAGGACTGAAAGTTAAGCTCTGGTAAAGAAGTGTGCAGGATTCAAGTAGAGAACCCAAGGCAGAGTGGGAGCATCAAGAGAAGACTCTGTAGCATAAATCAAACTGACCCTGAAGTATTTGAAAGCATACAGGTTGAAAATGCTCTTCAAATGGCGCTGTCTGGCCCCTCATTTTACAGAGGACTAGAAGGTAACTCATCGAAGATCAGTGGTGGCAGAAATCAGATTGCTCTCCTTTGCTCTCAGCTGGTGTTTGAGACCATTTCCCGCTCCTCAGGAAGGGGAGGCAGTCACCCAGTCCTGCCACCGATCCATCTTCAGAGGACATCTCCTTCACCAGAGGAATGCTGGGTGGCCTGTGCTTAGCTGCATTCCCAGACTCACTTAACTGCAAGTGGCAGAAATCCAACTCCAGCTCAGGCAGATGGGAAGTGAATCCATTCGTGGGAGCTGGAACCAAACCTCAGGGTGAGGATGGTGGTGGACAAGGTAAAGCTTCACTTTAGCAACAACCTGGACAAAACCTCACACGCTGTGAGGTGTGTGTTTGTGTGTATCTCTCTTATCTTTGTTTCTCTCTTCACATTGCCTTATTCTCTCAACTGGCTTTCTTCTAGGGAAAACCATGGCCAAGGACTGTGCCATCTTTGCCCTGAGAGAAGGGACTCTTCCCTTGTTTCTAGTTTGAAAATCATCTGGGAGGGAGTCCAGGGCCTTTGGGTCACACACCCACTCCTGCACTCAGGGGTATAGAACAATAGGATTGGCAGCACCCACTGAACCCTGATATTTAAGGGAGGTGTGACTTGTTCAGACCAAAAAGAGATGCTTAGGTCAGAAGAAAGACAGAGGGCTGGGAAGGCAAACACTATTTCCCCCTCCTTTGCACAGCTCGGCCTGGTGACCTCAACTCAACTTTTGTCAATGATCAGAATCCTCAGGTATTTGCTGATGTATACTGTCTCCCAGACATTCCAGTTTATCATGCAGGCAGGCAGATTACTATGTATGAAATACTATCCCAGCAGAAATCCAAGTTTTCACAGAAAATCAATGATTAATATTTTATACTGAACCAAAGTGCTAGGTGATATTACAAAAGAAAGACATTTTTTATTTTAAAATCACTAAATCCTTATTGCTGCTAATTGAACATGACTTTCAGTGGCTGAACTCAGAAGATAAGACATATTGGGAAACACTTATCGTAGAAGAACACTTTATCTTAGAGCTGCAGCAATAAATCTTTCCTGCACTTCCTGTCCTATCATCTCAGATTGAACTCCTGACATTTATTAATTTTATTCTTTAGAGCTTGGACACCTCTGAAAGAAGAAATATTTCACCCATTCCTCTTGACTGGTAAAAAAAAAAAACCTACAGAAGTGTTCCTTCTGCAAAAATCTTAATGACTCTTCAGTTCCGTTTATGGTTTTCTTTGCCACAGATATTTTCACCCTCAAGATTCCAGAGCTTTCCTATGTTCCACTGGTTTCAAATTACATGAAGGGGCACCAATAGCCAACATTCAGGACTGACCCTGCCCGTTGGCCACAGTTGACAACTTCAAGAGTGAGCCCCTGATCAAAGTTTATCAGAAAACTTCCCCAGGATTTTTTCAATGGTGGTTAACTACACAGAACAAAACATTCACCACAAAAACTCACATTGTGCAACCAGTCTCCAGAACTCTTTCACCTCACAGAAGTGAAATTCTACACCCATTTAACAACTCTCCATTCCCTCCTGCTTCCTCTCGGCCCCTGGCAACCACCATTCTACTTACGGTCTCTGTGAATACGACTACTCCACTGTTGGATGTGTTAGAAAAAACCCAGTCTTCCCCACTGTGTGTCTCTTTTACTCTCATATACTACCACATTTCTGACACCAGTGTGTGTTACTGGGGTTGGGGGGCTCCCACAAGAAGCAGTTCTGCAACACCAGCTGCATGTCCTGCAATTCAACTCAATTGTGCCGCTTTCTACCTGGAGATAGTGTCAGATCCCAAAGGGTAAGAGCTCATCCTGCAAGATCATCCCCCACTTCACATGCCAATTGCAGGTAGTAGTGCCATGACTGCTCACAACTTTGGGTGGCTCGGCTACAGATCAGTCATTCCCATGCTCTCCTCTCCCTTCCATTCCATTTTGTGCTAGAATAGCTCACAGAACTCCATGAAACACTCACTTATATTTACCAGTTTATTAATAGATGTAATTAATAAAGGATACAGATGAGCCAGATGAGGAGATACATAGGATGAGGCCTAGGAGGGTCCTGAGCACAGAACATTTTGTGCCCCTGGAGTGCGTCAGCATCACCTTCCCAGTGCGTGGATGTGTTCACCTGCCTGGACTATTGAAGTTTTATCATGACTTCCTCACATAGGTATGATCAATTAGTAACTCCATTTCTGGCCCCCCATCTCCCCTCTCTAGAGAAGGTGAGTGGGGAGTAGAGCTGATAACTCCAACCTTCTAACTGTGGCTTGGTTTTTTTGGTGACCAGCCCCCACCCAGGTGCCATCCAGGAGCCCCCTGAGAGTCGCCTCATTCGAAGAAAAAATGTTCCCAGTGCTTTTATCACTTAGGAAATTCCAAGGGTTCTAGGAGCTCTGTGCCAGAAATCGGGACAGAGAACAATATAAAAATTTCCTATGATTTCACACGTGCATATACATTTTGTACCCATTCATCTGTCAGTGGACACTCGAGTTGCTTCCCCCTTTTGGCTATTTTGAATTCTGCTGCAATGACCATGGCTGTACAGATACACGTTTGAGACCCTACTTTCAATCCTTTGGGGTATATACCAGATATTCTTTGAGGAATTACTGGGTCATGTGGTAGTTCTGTTTTTTAAAGAATTACCATACTGCTTTCCACAGTGGCTGCACCATTTTACTTCCCACCAATAGTGCACAAGGTTCTCATTTCTCTGCATCCTCATCAGCACTTGTTATTTTCTGGGGTTTTTTGGTGTTTTTGTTTTGTTTGGGTTTTTATCTTAATGGGTGGGGGGTGGTTTTGCCAGCATTTTAACAGGAACTGAGGAAGGAGGTAGGTCTCTCCTATGCAGATGCTTTGGAGGTGATACTCTAGGTAATTGTCATGTTTCTTGACATGTGAAGGAAGCCGTGTTCAGTTTTTAGGGTACTAATTAATCCTACCTCTTCCCCTGGCACAGTTCTGAACCCAGCTGAAACCTGTTCACAGACCCCTGTAGGCTCTACTAGGGATCAAAACAGCAGCACCAGTACTTTTCAAGGTGGGTTGGATACTGTGACGGAAGGCAAGCCCAGGCTAATCTCCACCTTACTCTTTCCCCACCAAGTGAAATTCACTTAGCAGGCAATGGCAAGCCTGCTGTGCCCCACCTTGCAACAGAGGCAGAAAAAGCCCTGGTGACTTTACGCAGAAAAAGGTCCTGATTGGAAGGAAGACGGCGTGCTGCCTGGGGACAACCAGGATCCAAAGGAGAGCCAGAGGGCAGAGGCCGAGCCGGTGCAATGACTCCTCTGCCAAGCTCACCTGCCAGAATAAGCCACTCCTTCATCCTGGGAAAATGAAGGGAGTCTGAAAAGCAAAATGAAAGCTCAGCCCCCAAAGCTCTGAGACTCCAACGCTCTGCTTCACAGGCTCAGGATAACACAAGAAGGAAGGGAAAATGACCCTGGCCTCCTCAACAGTTCTAACATCCAGGTTTCTTATTACATAGGGCTCAGCATGGCATATATGCGGTTGCTCCTCTTGGGAAAGGAGGCTGAGTGCACATGAGGCTGCTCTCTGAGATCGTCAAGATTCCTGGTGAATCTGCCCGAGGTCCCAAAGGCTCTGAAATGGGTCTGCATAGAACATATGAAATTTACTCGAGGTATCCCCACACCCCAGCCTGAAAATTCACTCCCCAGTCTGTTTCCCTCTTACATTTTCCCAGGTAGGCTATTCAATAGAGCTCATGGAGATCATGAAATGAACTCAAATGAAGGCATAAGACCACTCCAAATAATAAATGCCAGTGTCTTGCCAATGGGTTTCAGCTCCAGGCAAGTTCGCTATGGATTCAATGTGACCAAAGAAATTGACAGCAAAACGTTCTTGGGGTGAAAGGGTTATACCCAACTTTATTTCCAGGTGGCAGGTCAGTCACTAAAATCCTGTTCACTCAGAGCAAGTCTGAGTCTCTGCCTTTGGGCCCCTCTGTCCTCACAGCTGTCCTCTGAGCCTCTGTCCTCTGCTCTCCTGCAGCCTTGCAGCCCTGCCACCATGTCATGCCCAGAGCACTGGGAAGTTTATATAGAGCCAACAGCCATGTATTGCCCACAGGTGTGCAGTGAGCTAGTCAACCAGGGCCAGGTGAGAATCCTGGCCACAGGAACTCTCATTTTATCCACAGCCAGCAATATTTAAAATGCCTTGACTTGAATTATATGAAATGCCTCATTATTCAATTCTCAAAAAGGAATTAAAGTCTTATATAAATAAAACGGCTTTCTCTTTAAGGTTGAACTCTAAAGAAATTAGAAGTCCACAAATATTTCCTGCCCAGTTTCTTTCAGGTTCAGGGTCAGGCGGGAGGATCTCATGCAGCCATGGGGCTGAGTCCACCTCCTCCTGCGGCTGTCTCCACTACAGAACAGTCTTGGCTTCAGGCTCTCCAGGATGCCGCTCCTGGGGCATGCTGTGTAGAATCTGTTCTCTGGTAAACAAACTTGTCTGGGGGAATCCCACTCTCATGGGACCAGTCCTGCTGCCACAGGGCCCTTCTCACACCCAGCAGAAGTCCCAGGCTGGCCGGGGCCTATGGGCTGGGGTACAAGCTCTCCTCAGAAGCTGCTTCTCCTCAAAACCATTAAGAGGAAACCCACCCAAAAGGGGCAAGTCTGGTAAGACTTTCCCAGCTTGAGCAAGCACCTTACCTCTTCCACATGAGACTCTGAAGTCCCTGAAGAAACGGAGCTGTTTGTAATTTCACCCAGAGTTGCTCCTGAAGGCAGATTGGTAGTGCTCAAGTCCCTGGCAAGGCCTGTGACACGTAAAGAGCAGCCTGCAGGACGGATGCAGGAACGCCAGCTACAGCACACACGCAAGGCCAACGATTTGCGAGGCCAGCGCATCCTAACCCAAGGCCCAAGGCTTCCGGCTCTCCTTCAAGGCAGAAGTGAGCAGAGGGAGTCAGGTGGAGAGGCATCTCCTTGTTCTAGAGAAGAATTATGGGTTTCAAGTTGACCAAACATGGAGAGATCCTAAGTGACTACAATCACTCTGTAAATTGTGGGGAAGATTTAACTCAGGCTAGTGGAAAGTTTAATCTTGGGCCTTTCTAAAAAAGGAAACACATGAAAGGCATGGCAAAATCATGGGCAACTGAAGGTCCTAGGCCTGAAGCTTTATTTTAACCTAAAGTTAAAGGTCTATAATATTAATCCCCAGGGGAAGATTCAGGGGAAATCTACTCCTGTTAGTGAGGGAAAACACTAAACTTTATCTTGTCAATTGCGTTAAAAATTTAGCCGTTAAAGACTATGGACTTCACTCTGTTTAAAGGTGGGTGATTTCTGCAAAAAGATAGGTAATTTTTTAAATTCTATTTAATTTCTTCAAAACAAAAATGAAGGGAAAACCGTACTAATACTTCTTGAGGCATTAGCCAATTTACACTTATGGTTATTATATTAACTAAATTGGAGAGAGAGCACCTGTTGGAAATGATCTAAGCCTAAGTGTCCATAAAGAACAGAAAACCAGGAAAAACATGTTTTACAGCTTCACATTTGCCATTTTCGCCACTCATCAGCCAGCCAACCCACAGTTCAGGTGACTATAAGCAGTAGTTTGTACCAGGGCATGATTGATACATGGTATAAAGATAAGACCTTTGACCCTTCACAGGTTTTCAAGTCAGCACAATGCTTGAAAGTGTCTCCTATCTGGTATACAGCAAGACATTCCAGTTTTAGGGAAGATTTAGGTGATGGTTGACTTTGGAATAAAGACATTAGAGCTATTTAGTAAATTAATTTTAGTGTTTTCTTTTTTTTTAATTGAAATATATTTGACATGTAACATTGTGAAAATTTAAGATGTACAGCATGTTGATTCAATACATTTATATATTGTAATATGATCGCCATTGTAGCGAAAATTGGCACCTATGTCACATAACTACTTCTTTGTAGTGGCTGGAATAATGAAGATCTAGTCTCTTAGCAAGTTTAATGATTATTATATTGTCTATATTCACTATATTGTAGGATTATTTTCTATTTCTTACAAGTTTGTACCCTTAAACACCATTTCTCCTGTCCCCCAATCAGAGTTTTGCATTTTCAGACCCTATTCAAATCTTATCAATTAAGATACTGGCCTGGTGTTAGTTTTAAGGTTCTGTGAAGTTTTGTTTTTATTTTTCCATTTTAGGAGATTAAAGCCATGTTCCAAGGACTTTGAGGACAATCTTTCTAAGACATTGAATAAACCACCTAATCCTCAGTGCTCTCAGGAACAAAGTTAATGATTATTAATCTCTAGGTGGTATCCTTATCTACTTCTAAATTCTTGGTGTTTTTGTTTTTAAATTCAAACTGGTTTAAAATTTACAAATGGGACTCAGAGAATGTGGGTTTAGGTGGAGAATTTCCACTCCTACAGTACATTACGTGGCTCGTGAGCAGCCACCCATACTAAGTGACTGCAGAGCATTTGTCTCATTTTCTAACTTTCTGACAAAATATTTTGAAATTCTCTTGTACATACGTCAATTTGAAAACTCAGGCTTTCATTGTAACAAAAAGATCTTTAAAAGGGGATTTAACATAAATTACCTAAAGACCATTTGGGATTAAAGAGCTCCAGGCATCTGGGCTTTGGAAGTATTGCACAAAAAGAGAACAACTTTCTGCCATAAAGTCCCAAAGCAAATGTGGGAAAGCCTTGCATTCTACATGTGCAGCAATTTTGTCAGGGATAGAAAGTGTATGTTCAAAACACTCTAAGCCAGTGTTTTCAAATCGTAGAATGTGACCCATTGGATATTACAAATGGCATAAACCTAAATGTGATTTATTCCCAGAGGAATTAACCTTTAAATAAAAGGGTATTAACAAGAAGCCCACACGTCAGAACATGTACCAGGGAGTCACTCTGGCTGGGAGCAGGAGGGAGATTAAGAAAGAGTGGGCTGTGCTTCACTTCAAAAAAAAAAAATGCAGAGAAAGTTTTAAACCAACCAATAAAATTAAGACAAATGTAAAAAAAAGCCTAATATAGATATAACTTGTTTAGGCGACCTCTGGCAAAGAATGTGAATCCTGTAATACTCAGCCAATGAGGAACCAGGGGAGGGACTCACGTGCTAAGGAATAAATACCTTGTTGTAACTGCCCTGAGTGTGCCTACTCACCAGACACCAGATCTTGCAAGACCATCATTAAAGCCTCGTTCTGCTGTGCTCTTTGACTAAGTTTGGACCAGTGAACGCCTTTCTCAGTGGATTGTGAAACCTACTTAATGGGTTGCTAACAGAATTTTCTTCAAAGGAATGAAATAGAACAGATCATATCAGATTGAGTCACTAGAAGTACAGTAAGAGCCGTTCAGTGAAATTTTCCATTCATTATGTGTGCACACAAGGTAGGTGTGGGCTAAGATGAAGGATGATTACCTTTTACTTTGCATAAAAATATAATTTTTACTGTGGGTTGTGGTTTTAAAAAAGTTTGAACACACTATGTAGGATCACCTCATGGGCACAAAACTTGGAGTGGTTACATAGTGAAGTTCATTTTCCACATATATACTAGGACAGGCACATTTTGAAAAATACATGGACACAGGACATATGAGAAAACAGATTATATATTTGCATTTTCCAAGTTTTCTGGGATGAAGAAGAATTTAGAAAATTATTTGTCATCATAAAGACATGCTTATTAAAAAAAAAAGTCAAACAATCCAGAGGTTTAACTTAGTAAAATATGAAAAGCCCTCCTTCATTTCTCCTCTCCTAATTCTGCACCTTCCACCAAGGAACTCATCAACTGCTTGGTATGTATTATTGCAGACTATTTGCTACGTGCACAAACACACAAGTATGATGTATATTTGGAAACCATGCAAATGTAAACAAGACTGTGCAGTATTATTGTGCAACTTGATCTTCATATCAGTATGTCTTAGAGATATTCCCATATCCACACTACAGAACTATTGTTTTTGTCTGCTGCAGAGTATTGCATGGTAGGAATTGGTATGTACCTATTCAACAATTTATGCATTTATGTACAATTATGTTGCTTCTAATTTTTTATTATTTCAAAAAAATGCTTCAATACACATTCTTATATCTCTTAGACACTTAGGTGAATATTTCTTTAAGCTGGATGACTAGAATCAGAGTTGTTAAATCAGAAGCTAGCCACATTTTAAAGATTGATATACACTGCCCAATTGTCCACCCACAAAGCTGTGTTGACTTATGTCCTTCAACAACTACCGAGTGCTCACTTAGACTATCTTCAGCACTAGCAATTACCAATCCTTTAATATGTGCCATTTCAAGGGGTTGAAAAGTAGTGATCTCCTTTTATTTTTTTTATTGCTTATGAAGCTTAATGTTTACATGTTTATATTTCTTTTTAAAATTATTTTTATATTCTTTGTTCATTTTTTATTTGTAGGCTCTTTAACCTTCTGTTAGTTTCACTTATTTTCTCAATTTTTGCCTGTGTACAGAAGTTGGACTTTTTTTTAATGTAGTCAAATTTGTCAGTTTTTTTCTTTCTTTCATGGATCGTGGGTTTTGTGTCTCGCTTAGGAAGACATCCCTCGTTCCATATTTATTTAACATTTTTTCCAAAATTTTATTGTAGTTTGTTTTATATTTCCCTGTTTATCTGGATTTTATTCCTCATCCATGGTATGAAAAAATAAAATGTTTTCCAAGGAGTCAATAATCTCAACATCATTTACTGAATAATTCAACTCTTCCCTACTTATTTGTAATGCAATTTTTCAAATATTAAATTATTTTTTTTGGTCCAAAAAAGTTCATATATAATGACAGTCATCTCACTTTTCTATCATGTGTATTTTTTAGTACTATTTTGATCTTCAGAGTTAGCAAGAGTACTTCAGTTTTTTTCACCAAGTTTGTTTGCTATAGATTTCTGATAAGTATATTTAATCGATCTATAGAAGCTAAGAATGTTTCCTTCTATTTCTGGATTGGAAAGAGTACCATTTATCAAATGGGTTTACAGCATTGAAGATGATACGCCATTCTTTAATCTGTTAAAATTTAGTGAGCTATAGTGATTTTGCACCTCTGTTAGTGAGATTGGTTTCATTGTGTTTTATTTGTGCAATTTTATTTCAGGGTTATCATGGAGCAAATTCGGAAGCTTTACATCTCTATCCTGTGGAATGGTTTACAAATGTTTTCCTTGAAAGTCTGACAACATTTGCCTTTTTAAAGGAAGTTCTTGTACTACCTTTTCAGTTTCTCCTAAGATGTCTGGCCTATTTACATTTTCTAACTCATCAATTTTTAGAATCCGTATTTTTTTTTAAGTTGTCATACTTCATCTAGTCTTTTAAATTTATTTGAATGAAGTTGTACAATCACATAGAGAGTAAATTCTAAATACTACTCCCTTGTAATTAAAAAGTCTATTTGTAGGTTAGATATCTTTCTAAAAATTATTCCTGATGCTAATTATACCTGTTTTGTTACATCTTACTATTTTTATATTTTCTGAAGGTTTGCCTTTTATTGGTTTTTATTTTAAAACCCTTTAGTTTGCTCTCTATTTTATTAATTTCTGCCTTTAACATGTTAAATTCCTCACTTTCTTTTGGTTCATCTCTTTTCTAGCTTTTCTAAAGTTAAATTTTAACTTCTTCTATTTTCAGTTTTCTTAATTCTTCAAAAATAAGTCAGAATCTATAAAATTTCCTCTAACATCTGATTTGGTAAAATCACCTAGATTATTATTAATTCTAAATAGTCTATAATTTGCTTTATTTTGCCCTATAAATGAGTTGTTTAAAAGATAATTTTAAAATTTCCAACTGGATGGGTCTTTTGCTATTAATTTTAATACATTATACAAGGAGAATGAGATCTGTATGATCTTTGTATTAGGTATTTTTCCCCTCATAGGAATTATTTTTATAAATGTTCCATATGTTTTCCAAAGA